CCGCGCAGGTCGCACGCAGGCCACGCCAGGTCGCACTAGGTCGCGCCAGGCCAGCCAGACCGGTGCCCGGGGGGGAGACCAACTTGATAAGTTATTGCCTGGGTGCTTGCCTAGTTGTCACGAGGTGCCACATGTCGCAATTTCACTGGAGGGCCAAATCTGTCCTCATCAGTACTCAAAAGGATTTATTTCTGAAAACTACTTGACTATTGATGAGGGGGAGTGCTCCATAACTCCATTTTATATTGAAAAATTAAAGACATAAAATAAATAGGCCAATTATCATATTTTGGAGAGTTGGTGTGACTAATGCAAAACCGCCCACCGCCGGATCATAGGAGAGCTTGTTCAATCCTCCTTTTTTGTATCAGTCAATCAATATGCCGTGCCTTACAATATTGACACTTTTCCAAATTGATTAATTTAGCCATCTAAAGTTTTAATCTTTAACTTAAGAGGGCTGATTAGGGCACATCCTAATTTTGATACAGTTGGGCATATATACCCTGTGCAAGACAAGAAAAGATACCTAGCTTATTAACTTGGGTACGTATTTCCCCTTCGATCAGAACTCTAATTTTGAGGATATATAGAAAAAAGAAGAGCTTAATCTTAGCACGTGGCATTGAAAGAATTTTCCAGTGATCATGCTGTGCTTCAGAGAATTTACCTGCTGCCATGGGTTGTATGAAGAATCACCCAAACTTTTAATTTGCATTTGAAAGCGCAAGTTTTGGCTATCTAAAATGGAGCCATTCTCGGTCGTTAAGACTTACGAGAATGTAGAAATGAGGCTTAGTGTGCAAATCAAAGCAGAAAGAAAATATCACTAAACCTACACTTTCTGCAACTCACGAAATGAAAAAATAGGTGAGAGTAAGCAGAAATAAAACTAAAAAGAAAAGATGACGAGTGATGGAATGAATTACATGCTATTATTGCAAAAAAAAGTCAATCATGTCTGTGACAATCTCACTCCTCATTTCTTCCAAGATAACATCGCCTATTTCTACCGCTATCTCACTTCTCATCCGTGGCTTCAAATGATTCCACTCTTCTGTTGAGTATGAAAAATCAGAATATATCAGTTGGGTTATGTTTGTTTTATCTCCGCATTGCTTGCCCCACGAACAAATCTGCTCACAGATTATCCTCCCAAGATCTTCAGGCCCTAAGAATTCGCGATCAAATCGACTCCATCGTTTTGTTCCATGAGTCTCCAGCGCTTCCCTTACGCAGTCAAAGAGAAGCTGCCTTTTCTGCTGCAATACCCATCTGGTCTTCAGGTACTGAGAACAAGAACCAGGTCCAAGGAGCTCATGTAATTCTGCATATCCAATAGAACCCTGTTTCTCTTCCAGTGAGTGTACAAGTAAATCCCACATAGAAGCCGAGAATATGGAATCTTCTGCTACTTCCTTGGGTACATTGAAACTTGAAGTTGATCGTGTCTCCTTGCTTCTTGTAGCGGGGCAGCACCACACTGTTTTGTTGTCCAACAAACAACAACAAAAACGATTTTTTTTTCTATTTCAGAATCAAATGGATAAAGATAACATTTTATTTTAATGTAACTTAAAGCAGACAAAGGTTGCAAAGATTTAACTCTGGTTTTGGATTCGAGAACCTTCATGGTAGGGTTGTTCTTCTAATACTGACACAGGACTGAGTTGCTTGGTATCTTCCATGCATCCACATTGAAGCTTTCTATCCGTGTCATCCTGTTATTAGCTTTGTGAGTAATCAAACTCAGTACATGAAAACAGAAGAATACTTTACACTTAATTGGGTAAAAACAGAATGCACAAGACATTAATCCTACCTCTTGCTGTTTCAGATTGCAAAGTTCTAAGCTTCTGAAAGTGTCTACAGAAGAAGATGGAATGTGCTCTCTTCTTTGAGGTGAGGAAGAGTCTTCTGCATCGCTTTCACAACAAGAATCAAATAACGTGACGCTGCTGGCCGACGAAAACTGATCCAAATCTGCAACTTGTTGAGCCCTCGCGCCTCCCATCTCACAGACACAAACACCTTCATCCTCATAAGCTCTAGTATCCCAATTCGATGTTTTTCGGTTGCTACCAACGAAAACAAGCTTGTTAATTAATAACTTGAGGACCTTCGGGCAGTGCGGAGGTCTTGTCCTCAAACCATAACTGCCCGAACTCTTAGAATTCTTATGTGAAATGGAAGTGCAGAAACCATCTCTAGCTTCCGAATTCGAGATTTTCTTCAAATACCCTCTCTCCGAAAGGTAATCTTGCAGCTGAAAAGGTTCTTGTTGCTCTTGGAGAAGCTCGCCAAGCCGTCTTACCCGGCCTGGTTTGGAGACGGAGGTTGCCATTAAGCTATTCAAGATTAATGGCTTAGAGGAGGAGATGGAAACGAAGATGTGTGAAAGTTTAACCATCAGAGAGAAGAGGACAATGAGGTGCAGGATATTTAATTGGGATGGACAAAGCATACCCGTCAGGAGAGAGAGAGAGAGAGAGGTGTCTGTAATAGAAGTCACCTTGAATCCAGGCAATCCTCGACAGCTAGCAAAGCAGTTAAACAACTATATAGAATCTGAAGATTGTATATAATGTTTGTCAGGGAAGGTTAGGACTTTCACCTGGGTATTAAATTCTTCATATCTCTCACTTTTTAAAAAATAAAAAATTTCTCAGTCACAAACATATAATACAGTCATCCAAAATTCGTCCAGCTGTAGGAGGAGTCACAACAACGCGTCAACCCCTCTGGTTGGAGAAATAAAAAGACAAATTGAAGGATTTATTTCTGCGCGGGAGGTGGGCTTGGTTGCAGTGTCAAGCCCTCCTGGGTTGGGGTTACCAAATCAATGTTTATGTTTTCTCTTTCTGCCTGCTTTATGAAATGATGCTACTTCAGAATGTAATCATGTAGGTGGGTGTGGATGGAGTAGACCCTAGATTATGAGATGCTAATTTATTTTTTCTTGTTTTGCTAATTAGCAATGGAATCAGAAATTAAGGGTTCAATTATCCTGCAAATGCAGAGAATGAATGACAAGCATACAAAACTGGCTTCTATCCACCATTTCCTATCTGTCTTATCGATAGTTCTTTAAAGCAGCTCAGGAGGACCTAGAACTCTAGAAGTAGACAATACATATACATTAATTCCATGTGAAGGGATACCATATCTGAAGATTATGCGCAGGTGGTCCACACAATGTTTATTTACCTTGTTCTTATTTTTATAAAATTTATATTAGAGAAATTTTCCTTTAAAACCCTACTTTGTACGTACATGAATTCCTATCTTGCTGTTTCCATTTCAATCAACCCAATGGCTATGGGTTTAGCCCGGGTTCCTTAATTGAATCACGGTATCAATTAAAATAGGAAAAGGAAAGAAAAGGTAGGGAAATCTTTATAAATTTTGTACAGATTTTTACTCTTTTTACTTTTTCCTTCAAATCAAAGATAGCTTAAAAAAAAAAAAAAAGAAAAGGAAAAAATTACCGTTATTGGATATATAGTGCAGAAACACCGATGGATCATTAGAACTTTAGAAGACACGCGGCAAATAGTACCCACATGGTGGGCCACTGCCATAAAATGGAGTCCGGGTTTGGTCCCACAAACCATTGTAGCCAATTAGCCATAGTAAATCTTGCGATGAAGGACAGGGGAGATGTTTTTAGGGATGGCAATTTTATTATTTGGTGGGTTTACCCTATTTGTCCTAAGTGTTTTTTTGTTTTGGGATTTTCTTTCTCACCCGCATATTGTTTAAAAACATATGAATTTTATGTTTTAGGTGTTAAATTTTATATAAAGAATAATTAATAATTTATATATTAATTAAATAATTAATTTTTTTGTTATTTATTTATTATCTATATATAATAAGAAATAATAAGATATTAGTTATGGATTCTAAACCGTATATAGGTTTTGAAACAGATACCCGAGCAGGTTGTAAACTTGCAATGGCTTATTGGGACGTTTGTTGTGACCGTGCGTCGGCATTAGATCCCAATTCTGTAAAATGATGTAAAACATCGTTTAACAAAAAAATAAATTGTAAAATATCATTCTATTCCTTTAACCACAGAATAAGCATGGTCTCTTACCCATTAATGATCTCTGGGGCCAGGTATATCCATCATCACCATCCAATTCAGTGTGTCATTTTGATACAGTGTGTCAAATTAGTACGTTTTAAAAGTTCGGGTACTGAATTGTCACATTTTAAAGTTCGAATACCACAGTGGCACTAGATCCAAAGTACAGAATACTATTTATATTTCCATGTACATGTAAGGGTGCTAAACTAAACCGTGGTTTTTTTTCTAGAAACTAAAGCGATACTATCAGTTAAATGGTTGACTGGTTTTGATATTTGATGGGTTCAATTCTTCGATTAACTGGTTAATATTGTCGCCATTTTTTAGGTTAATTGAAAATCGAACTAGTCATTCAGTTTTAGTGTTTTGAAAATACCAAATTGATCAATTTGGTTGATTAGATTTTTCGATTAACTTTTCTCAATTCGATTTGGTTTTTTAGTTTTTGATGATCAACATTTTAGAAAAATAATCCTTGTGAAAATTTGATATTTTATTTTTTTATTTTCTACTTCTTTTAAGAAAAATGGTAATAAATAAAGTAGTGATAAGTAAAGTAGTTATAGACTATAGGGGTGTTTTAGTAATATACAATATAAATTAGGTTTTGGTAAATGAATCAAATTTTAAGGATTGTCTAAGTATATCTTAACCCAAATTGATATAAAATTCCAATTCACTATGAATATAAAGATTATATATAGTATGGATAAGTTCACAGAAATCCTTCTATACAACTATAATTTTGTTATGTTTAATCATATTGCAGATTATGCAGACGAAAATGTTTTTATAGGTATGTTTTAGTTTACTATTATCTTTAATGAATATATTAAAAAATAGGTCTTTTTATTCTAACTTTTGTATGTTACTGAAATAATTGTTTACATGGGTGATACTTATCTACTATTTAAATTAAAGAAAGGAATTTATTTTATTGGATCATAAATGTTTCATACTATTTATTTATACATTCTTTAATTGTGATTAAACATATCATCGGTGACCGAAAGATTAGAATGAGGTTCACTTTATGGAATAGATTTGCAAATATTGTTGAATTTTGTGCTAAATAAATAAAAAAGAATTTGCCGTTATCTTTGGAAGTTGTGTTAAAGTGATACATGGTAATTTTAAATTTATTTGTTTAATAATGTAATTTTTTTCTTACATGTAGTCATATTCATGGGCCAGGTAGCCCAACGACTTGACCTGGTCCCTGGACGGGCTTGGACATGTTTTTTAGCCAGCAGGCCTAAAAGCCTGACTCGATTATTTTTTGGGCCGAGTTCGGGATTTGTCAAAAAAAGCCTGGCCCGACTTTTCCCATAATACAAAATATATAATTATGTTTTATAATTTCTAAACCCTAACCCTTTTCCTCTTTTCAGTTTTCATCGATCTCACTTCTCAATCTCTCTATCTTAACCAAAGATAGCTAGCAAGTAGTAACCACCAGCACCACCAAAGAACCAACGATCACCGGCAAGTCGGCGATGACCATTAAAGCATAGGCTAGCAGCAGTAGCCAGCAAGTGACCAGGTCTAAACCAGGTTAGATTTCCTTTCATTATCTTCCTTTCTCTCTCTCTCTCTCTATGTTCTGTTATAAGGAAGTCCGAACCAGGTTGGATTTCCTTGAGGGTTGAGTTTTTCTACCATTAAACTTATGCCCAAGCTCGTATGATCATTTGCAGCCGTTTCTCTGGTTTCCCCAGAGCCCCTGAAACATTATGGTTGGAGGAATTTCAAAGGGTTTCAGTTTTTGAACTTAAGATAAGGAGGATCCTATTTTTAAATTCAAGCCACTCCTTCGACCCTTCACCTTCTCTTTTGGTCATTTTGATTATGAATGGGCAGATATATTTTTTTTTCCCTGCAGGATTATTATTTTTTCCTTTGGTTGGGGTGCCTTGATTTTCTCCCGTGGGCTTTAAGGTCAATTTGCTCATATAATAATACTTTTTTTTTGTTTTTTTGCAATGTGTTGTTCTTCTTTTGATGGGGGATATTGGTCCCAACACAGTCGATCTTCTCCCTTGAGACAATGAATTTCTTGTTTTCGTCAAAGCTCGGTGAGTATGTTGGTTATCGGTCATACTCAAGTAATTAATAAAAAGAAAAAAAAAATCAATCATTTTGTCAGGTCAAGCTTTGGGCTCGGGCCCAGACTTCGGGTTTTTTATGAGGGTCGGGATTGGGTCCAAGTTGTAGGCCCGATGGTCGGGCTGGGCTTGGGCTCGAGCCTAAAAAAATTTGTTAATGAAGGTGAAAGCCTGGCCTGGCCCATGAATAGGTCTACTTACATGTTAGAAATAACAACATGACACATTATTACCACTATGAAGAAGACAATGTTGTCTTTTAACTCCTTTGTTATAGAAGAAAAATTGCTTCTGTCATGATAAAGAATGATTAATAAGGAATAATTTAATAAATTTAATAAATATTTACTCTATATCAATAAGTTAATGAGTACAAGATTTTTTATTTTATATGTCCAATGGCAATGAGGAGGTGATCAAGACGGTTCAAGTATATATTTTATGTTCAACGTTATCATAAATTATAAAGAATTTAAAGTATATATTTTGCATGGAAAATATAACATTATAATCCTTCCCTAGGATAGTATTACTTTATAATGTTATGATGAAAAATATATAAAAAAAAAAAAAAATTGTTTATTCTTATGTGTTTTTATTGTTTTACTTTCACTTAAGAAAGACTGCGCATCTCGTATGATTCCCCACTATTATACAATATAAGATAGGTTTTAGTAAATAAATAAAACTACAAGGAATGTCTAAGTAAATGCCAAAAAAAGCTTCCACTTCATCCCGCCATTACTTTCTCCTCCGATTCGTTACTGAGATCAACCACCAGCAGTGTTATTCTTTCATTGATTTCTTTACATACCACCAATGTGCTCTCTCTCTCTCTTTTTTTTTTAATAAAAGAGCCTGAAGGCCTAACAATCATCAGAAATCTCAGTAGTATCGTTTTTTACAAATTTCTTCAAGAATTCTGAGACAGATGATCAGGTACATACTAAATCACAAGACAATCCAAACCTGGCTAAAGAATGAGCCGCCATATTGGTTGATCTATCTGAAAACACTAGTGAGAAATCACGATGGTGATTGAAGATATTCTTGTAATTACGGATGAGTGTAAAATCCTCCAACAAGAGTTTAATGAGAACAGCACAGTCACCTTCAAAAATTGCCTTAGAAACTCAGATATATTATGCAAATTGAAGACTCTCAAATAGAGTACGAGCTTCAGACTCCAAGGCAGAGCACACATTAAAGGACATAGCCCGAGCATAAA